GGAGGGAGGGAGGGGGAGGGGCACCCAGGTCGAACTTGACTTTGGTCGACGCTTTCCGTTGATTTTGGCAGAGGGGATTGAGCTCGTCCCGGATCGCCTACGTGTTTCTCGAGCATACGTGACGTGTACGCGTGTGCACGCGTTACCTATTCATACATCGTCAACACGACTCCCGGTGCCGTCGAACGAAAAACCACGCGAAATAATATTTATATTTCACTCTCGGCGTGAATGGCGCTCTGCGAGAACTGTGCCAGCGTAAGAAATCCACAAAAATTTACCACTGCAATCCTTATGATCGATTCAATAATGAAGAAAGAACGCGGCTTTGCCAAATGTCAATTCCTAAGTATAATTAATAGGTAAATCGACTGCATAGTTATAATGTAAATGATAAGCTGCTCGACTTCGTAAGCAAGCGCGTGCCATTCGCTTTTCCGCTGTCGCAGTTCGATTTATTAATGAAGCAAAGTCGAATACCGCCCGTCACGATAAAGACTCTCCTGCATATCGCCTACGTTAATAAACACGTAATGTGCACATGGTAGGATCTAAAAATAGAAGTGCAGTCGACGCACATGCACTTCGATCCTCTTTACGCTACTGCTTGGATTATTACGCGATCGCATTAACATATCCGTTGGTAGCATTTTGCACTACAAAATTGCGTCTTACCTGTACAGATTATTTTGGCACTCTCGCCATTAACCCCCGCAGCCGCCTCCGTCACCGCCACGTCTCACTCTTTTGTAATTCAAAAATTGTGATGAACGTCACGTTCGTTTGTCTTGACTCGATCGAGAAGAAACGTGAGGTAATTCGACGCATGCGCACGAACGACGCGGTCAGTAGTTCTCTGTCAGACTGTAAATAGGTTAACGGGAATAAAATGGCGACAAGTAAAAATAGGAAGGCGGATATGCACATCCGTAGCCGCAAGCACCGCCCGCTGGGTTCGTGCGAGTCGTTTCTTCCACGAGAATAAACTGACGAGGATCTTTGTATACACATTGAGTAAGCAACATCTTCGCAGCATTAAATCTAAGCGTTCTATAATTAATCGATCGATTAATCAGCAACTAAAGATAATCCTGTCGCCATTAGCTACACCCGACGGTCCAAAGTGCAAGATTCTGTGAATAAAACTGTACGCACGGGGTGAAAGTGAAATTGCGCATGTGTGCACGCACTCTACTGTTATATTTAGGATCGAATCGTCCATACGATATGCGATCCTCCTATTAACGTTGCCAGTGGTCGCGCCATTAAATGCACTGTAGGCTCATCGGGGACAGGAAATCCCGAGAGTCTCGCACCGGTCGTCTCACACTTTGTAAATCCAATGGAACTTCTTAGGCGTCGTCTGATAATTTACTATTTTCATCGGTTAATTAAATATATGTCGGTTTCCATATCATAGTACAGGGTGGTCATAAAATAACTTCCCTGTAGCCAGCCGTTTAGAAGTCGCAGAATTTATAAATAGGATACTTACTTTACGACTACCCTGTACAAAACTTGTGGAATAATTAATCACGTGTAATCTTTAGAGTTTTGATACGAACTAAATAAAAAAAGGTACAAAGAAAGATGCAGGTAAATGAACGGATAAAAAAAAGACAGGTAAACCTGAAAGATTTCTGTGTCTGCCTACCTTTCGCGTTGATTGCACTTGCTGGAGGGTGCTCGCTGGACATCCTGCTTCCTCGAACGTCCACCTGGGGTACATTGACCACCCCCTAGTGCCAGTCGACCTCCTCTTTGTACATCACGTATGTCCGAGCACTGGAACGAGAGTCACGGAGTCATGCGTTACAGTGGAGAACGAGTCCACGAATGAGTTAAACTTCGATTGCCTTTTGCTGCTCTCTGACGATTCGATTCGATCGTGAATCGAATCACTTATCACCCAAATACAATAAACGATCTATAAAAATCGAAACGCATGAAACGAACCATGCGCAGTCACTCGCGAAAGTGATAAGAGGCCAAGGGACTCCTACAGCTCGGGAAAGACACACGGGTTCGTTTAGGCATCCCGTGACGTCGCCCAAGTAATACCACTTGCCATTAGGGAAGAGGAGAGCGAGTGTGGACCTTCCCGATGATGCATCGTGGCTCCACTTGGCACGAGTCGGCGTCAGGAAGTCCATGCTCGTCACCCGGATGTATTCGGATTTAGGCTTCTCCCTCGAGTGGGCTACCCATTTTCGACAGTAGAGAAGCAACAATATGACAATTAAAAGCGTTGTCCTTTTTTTGCATGACGAACATCAGTAAAGAAAGTCAGTAACAAGAAGAAGGGACTATGTAGGTCGTGTAGCGTGTAGTGTAGCATACTTTGTAAATAAAATTGTATACAAAGCTTGTTGGAAACTTCATTGCCTTCGATCTGTCAGAAAAACACATTGAACTCGTGAACCGGCTACATTAGCGAAATAATAGGCCGATGATTAATTCAATGAAACTGTGTACTACGAATGAATCCAAATATCTTTTTTTAAAGTCTTTGAGCAATTCTAAAAACTTTCGCCGCACGCTAGAACGGAAGAGCAAATACAAGACCCGTGCTTACTTACGGCTCTATTGTATCGATGCAAGGTCCCTCACTTATGATTTTAAAGCACGGTTCCTTGAAAAAGCCCGAATAGAAACTGCGGTTGCTAATCCAACTCAAAAACCAGTGACTAGTTAATTAAAACTAGATAAGTTCTTAGTTAACGATGATGCGACAGCGAGATAGGATCTTTTGTACTAATTACTTCCTGACTCCTATCTGCGGATTATCCAGCTAATATTACTTATAGACGGCGTAAAATTGCCACAAAATATCAGGTAGTCATTACCTCGGTATTGTGGCTAGCCAATTTGATTTTTAACTCAAAAAGTGGAGTTATGTCACTCTCTATGTTCTTGCTTAGGGAACATATAATTGCACCGACATACAGATGGCGCTGAAACTTATTGAGTTTATTTTGTAACGATGACACACATAATCATTGGATCGCCCACCATGGTCACAGACGAGCACACTGAGCTTATGCTCATCATTGCGTAAATAACAAGTATGTCTCTTGTCCAGTGAATGTGTAGCCATTCTAATTAAACAGATACTTTAGGCTATGTTACGAAATTCACAACCAGTACGGCGAGCATGGCTAAAGTGTTACATTCGATTGAATGAAGGCAAACAGACAATTGTTGTGTCGCGGTCTAGCCGATGTTAACCGGATAAATGTAAAATAAAATGAAGTACAACAGTCCCAAAGGCTCTGTATGAAATTGTGGAAAGAAAATTTTTTACATACGAATGAAATAATGATTTTACATTTTATTGAAATTGAA